AACAGGCCCAGCTGAGGAATTGGCAAGGTGAGATGGCTGTGGCTTGTTCTGCTTCTCTGATCTTCTAGCATTCACCCCAATACCCAGCTCCAGGTTTGTTTTTATTAATAGGAACTTTGAAGATTCATGCTACAGTGTGGTCATCATATAAAGATTGTCTTTGTATATCAGTATAATCACCTTCTCCAAGAAGTTGATCTTGGGAAATTTCAATACCTCTAGCCCTGAATCATTGTTCAATGGTCTTAGCCTCATCTTTCTACCAGATCCTCCATTGTAACTGGGGACCAGCCTCTAAGACCACTGTAACCAAATATTTACAGTCTTGAGGGATAATTCTATTATAAGTTGACTACGAGTTTAATGTTTGCTTCATGAATAGAGAATGGATACCATATGACACTATAGCTTCTTTGAATCTCAAATATAACATTTGCACAAGAGTCTAATCAGCTTGTACACAGCTTTGAACATTTGGCAGTTCCTGTATGATTAGTGGATAGATCAAGGTTGACTGTTTGAAAGCCTTGGGCTGTTTCTCTGTAACCATATAATGCAATGCTGAGATTGGTTCACCTTTAAATTCCTCTGTCTGGATCTGAGTTTCTCTATGATTTGTTTTAATGTTTTTTAAATTTTTATTTTGGCACTCACATTAACCAACTTTTTAAATGATAAAACAGAAATGATCAAACAAATAGTATTTATAATTGACATTACATCTATCCCATCAACATTAATTTTCCTCTCATTTAGTTGGTCCATTTTCAGACTACCTAATGTGTTATCAAACAGAGACAAAACACCGTGCATTGTAAAGATGTTTCCCATTTGTTAATGTAGAAAAAATAATTCTCTTTTAACTAATTTTTCCTTTAAGAAATCTTAATTGACTCACTAACTCTGATGACTATGTAAACAGTAGAAGCCCAAGTGGGTGCCAAGGCAGCTATCTAGTATGGTAGCAGCATGAGATGAATCCATGGAGAGCCCACAACCCACCAGGCATGAAGAAGTAAAAAATCCAGCCATTTGGATCCATCTAGTTAGAGACTCTGGTCCACATGTGGTGGAAACTCTGGTCTCAGGCAGCTCAGGACTGAGCTGGGGCCTGCAAGGCCATAGGCAAGTGGCTTTTTCATGAATTTGTGCCACAAAAATTGGGTGCCAAATGTAACATGAATCTTCAAAGGTCTTATAATAATAAGACCCAGAGCCAGATGAAAGGGTGAAAGCTGAAAGATCAGAGAAGCAGCCAGCCAGCCACTAGCTTACCTCTACGAAATTCTCAACCTAAAGAGAGCAAGTTCCTGTTTCCTTTCTGTGTCCTGCCATATTACTTCCTGGGATTAAAGACATGTGTCACCACTGCCTGGTTCTTTTTCTCTCATGTAGTCCAGTGTAGCCTTGAACTCACAGAGATCCACATGGATCTCTGCCTCCTGACCAATAGGATTAAAGGTATGTGTGCCACCACTGTCTGGCCTCTATATCTCATCTAGTGGCTGGCTCTGTCCTCTGATCCCCAGGCAAGTTTATTAGGTTATACAATATATCACCACATTTATCTCTTCACAGCATTAGAACAGTGACTAACACTGAGGAGTATCCTGGTTTGCTTTCTATTGTTATGATAAAGACCATGACCTAAAAAAAAGAAAAACTTGGGGAAGAAAGGGTTCATTTGACTTATATTTCCCCATCAGTAACAGTCCACTTCTGAGAAAAGTCATAGCAATAACTCAAGCAGAAACCTGGAGGCAGGAACTATAGCAGAGTGCATGAAAAACTGCTGCTTACTGGTGTGCTTCCCATTACTTTCTAAGCGTGATTTCTTCTACTAGCCCACCTGGCAAAAGAGGTACATCCCACAGTGGTCTGGGCCCTCCCACATCAAGAAGTTTAGGTTAATCAAGGAAATGCCTCACAAGCTTGCTTACAGTCCAATCTGTTGGAGCATTTTCTCAATTGAGGTTCCCTCTTCCCAGATGGCCCTACTTATGTCAAGATAAAAATATAAACAGCATAGATATAATTTTCAGGGAGGTCTACAATATTTCAATTTTTAATTTGAATTTAAGTTGACTAGCTGAATTTCAAATGCAAGCCCAAAGTTATTTTAATAAAATAGACACCAATTAGGAAAATAGCACACTGTACAGAAATTCTGTCATTAGTACAAACTTCATAGAATTTGCCCTGATTTAAGAGATGTAAATAAATAAATCATAGTTTAATAGAATCTTTATGCTATTTCATTTTTGATATTGTATTTTTAATGTACTATGCAGATGCCAATTTGTCTAGTATTCATCTCTTAATTTTTCCAAACTTGATACTACAATTATCCATACTATTTTTAAAAACAAATAAGACATGGGTTGTCCTAGTTTGACTCCTCTGTTGTTGTTATTAAAAACTGACCAAAGTTACTTAGAAGAGGAAAGGATTTATTTGGCTCACAAGTCAGTCTATCACAGAGGAAGGACAAGAACCCAAGGCAAGAACCTGGAGGCAGGAACTACAGCAGAGACCCTGGAGGAAAGCTGCATAATGGCTTGCTACCCTGACTTGTTCAGGTACCTTTCTTATACATTATACACCTCAGGCCTCCTTGTCTAGCAGTGGGACTCCCCCATAGTTGTCTGTGTCTTTCTGAACCAACTAACAATCAGGAAAATGCTTCAAAGACATGGCCACAAGCCAATATGATGAAGACAATTCTTCATAGACAATGCCTCAGTAGGGTGTCTGTCAATGTCTCTGAAAAAAGACCGTTATAGGTATTGTGACATGAGCAGAAGCTGAATTTTAGCATAGCATTCTTATAAGAATGGTATGTACATGAGTTCCTTAACATAGAAAGCATGCAAGATGAAAGGAGGGGAAGTTTATCTAAAAGGAAGACTGTTAGATTAAATAAAGTAGGGTGTGTATGTGTCTCTGTGTGTGTCTGTGTGTATTTATCAGAGGCTTCAAGATTCTAATTACAACAAGAATTTCCAAATATGGGTCAGATGAAACATTCTCTTAATTGTCTGAGGTACCATTGATTAAGGAGATAACTGTGGGCCGGGTGGTGGTGCACACCTTTAATCCCAGCACTTGGGAGGTAGAGGTAGGCAGACCTCTGTGAGTTCAAGGCCAGCCTAGACTACAGAGTGAGATCCGTGAAAGGCGCAAAGCTACACAGAGAAACCCTGTTAAAAAATAAATAAATAACTGTGAGGCCAAAGTGTAATATCTAGGAAATATTCAAAATACTCCAGGAAACATTTATTAACTTGATTCAGAGTTAGTATAGAAAAATTCCTCAAATGTCATTGAAGACAACACTGGTAAAGTGGTATGAAAGTTAACTTGGAGATATTACAGTGGGCCGTATGATGCCATCTGTGTAAAAAGAGGAAATTTGAACACAAACATACTTAGAGATTAGGGTAAAAGAAGGAAACCAGGAAAAGGCAAATTTCTACAAATAAAAGAGAGAAACTTCAAGAGAAACAATCCTGGTGATACCATGATCTCTTGATGCTACAAAAATTGTGTTAGATGTCCATCACTAGATGAATAAATAAGGAATATGTGGTGAATATGATAGGCTGGGAGTTAGAAAGATTCCCTGGTAGATAAACAGACAGGAAAAAGGGCCATGGCTAGGTAATACAGGTGATAAAGTTCTACAATAGCTCGCTTCTTCCTCATTCTCTTGACCACATGCAAAAGTTCATCATCTTAAAACAAAGCCTTGTGGGCCTTTTTCTCCCTCTAGTAGGTTCCCATTTGATCCTGTTTAAGATTTCTCCCTTGCTATGTGTTACACTCAATATTTTTTTTTTTTTTGGCTTTTAATTCTATAACTGGCAGAGAAAACAAACCCGATCAATATCCTATACGGTAACACACACACTAGAATTTTACTCAGCCTTAAAGAAAACTTTAAATCATGATATATTCTGGAAAACAAATGGAACTAGAAATTACTATGTTAAGGGATGTATCCCAGACAGAGAAAGTCAAGTGCCACATGTTTGGATTTTCTTTTTTTGCCATACATAGATACTATGATTTAATCTGTGTATTAGTGTATACATCTGTAGCTGGAGTTTTCTCCAGTCCTGCCTGGCCCACAGTCAGGACAAATCTCTCTCACCCGCCAGTCCAGCAGCTGCTCAGACCCAACTGAGTAAACATACAGAGACTTATATTGCTTACAAACTGTATGGCCGTGGCAGGATTCTTGTTATCTAGTTCTTCTATCTTAAATTAACACATTTCTATTAATCTATACTTTGCCACATGGCTCGTGGCTTACCAGTATCGTACATGTTGGTACTCATGGTGGCTGGCAGCATCTCCTGACTCAGCCTTCCTGTTCCCAGAATTCTCTTCTCTGCTTGTCCCGCCTATACTTCCTGCCTGGGTACTGGCCAATCAGCACTTTATTTATATAGAGTGATATCCACAGTATACATTTATGTTTAAGGGGTACAGATCATGAGACTAGAAAAGGGACCATAAAAGCTGGAATGAAGTTTTAAGAGGGGAAACAGGGCAGTAGACCACATGAGGCAAGGAAACAGAAGAGGTGCTATTTAGCAGAAGACTGCTAACAGGAGAGACAGAAAGAACAGAGTGGGGAAGAAGGATCAACAAAATCATAGCTGTATGAAACCCATTACTTTGTACACTAATTATAAAACAAAATAAAAGGTGCATTTCTGTTGCCCATGCCACCAAACTGTGGGACTTTATTGTAGTGGTGCTGCACCTTAGGGTTCCCTATCTTCCCAGAACCTCATACATCATTCAAAATGCACATTTTCTGTGGGCTCCTCTACGGATGTTTTTCTTATGTTACTATCTGTGTTCAATTCCTCAGGAAATGGTCTTTTTATGAAGCACTCTCTGACAGATTCATCCCTGTATGAATTGCAGTCTCTCTGATCATAGGATGCATCTAAGCACCTAGGAAGCTCCAGTTCCTAAAAGGCACAAGCTTCAGAAAGCTGCTTCTGAGGTATCAGTCTCTGCTTCTTTTTCAGCACTCTCAGTTCTATCATTGCCATCTCTAATCTTATTCTCAGTTGCCTTCCTTCCTCCCTGGCACTGTTCCTTTCAGCTCTGATTTTGCTCCACTTTTCCCTCTAGTTGTCACTGCAGTCTGACCACCATCTCAGTCTTTTCCATCTGAGCAGCTCTGGCCTTAACTTCTTCTAACTCCCTCAAGCAAAGTTCTTTGCAAATATCCCATTTGCTAGTGAAGAGTGAGTGAGCACTGTTATTGTGGATGACAAGAGGTTCTATTCCGTATAATGGCAAGCAGAAATTACAGTCATCTTTAATGGAGAAGGCAGAGTCTACCACATCACAGTAAGCTTTAATGGATGATTACTGCATCTGGAATATATGTGTTTTCTCAATTAATCAATGAATAGAGTCAAAATCAATATTTATCTTGTAATGCCCACAGAAAGAAAAAGGCCATCATGGCACATTTGAATTTCCCTTGTAGTTACTAGATCAAATCCTATATTGAATATATATATATAAAACAATGCAATTTTACCACTTTTTAAAATTCTACTTTCCACTGTAATTGAAATTGTAGAAGGATGGGGATTTATCTCAATTGAGTCCTTGTCTAGTATACACAGAATCCTAGGTTTGAGTCCCAACACAGAAAACCCAAGAGTGATGGCACATACTTATAATTCCAGCAATTAAAAGTAGAGCTAGAGCTAGGAGAATAAAGAGTTTGAGATAATCAGTCCTTTTGACATACTGAGTTTGACACCGCTAGTACTACATGAGACTCTCACATATCTAGATAGGTAAATAATAGATGATAGATGAATAAATTATAGATAGATTGATTGATTGATTGATATAGATAGATGGATAAATAGATATTTGAATTTATTCATTTATAATTCTCTAGTAAGCAAAAGGTAAAACATAGCAACACAATGATGGTAATATATGAGCTGAATATTTGTTTCAATAACCCAATTATATTTAGATAATGTTTATCATGATGCTGTCACAAAATTAAAATTTTAACATTTGCTGTCTACTAACTACATAATTGTTTGTTTTTCCATGCTAAGTTAACATTGATATGTGAGATAGAAAGTAGACACTATTGCTACAGATGAGTAGGTCTGTATTCCAATTACAGGGGCTAAATCATAGGTCATTCATATCTTCCATGACAAGCTCCATCTTAGCAACTATTCTCTAGTGTAGCTAGAGTTTTCCTGCCTTGCCCACAGTCAGGACAAATCTCTGTCACCCACCAGTCCCCCAGCTGCTCAGACCCAACCAAGCAAACACAGAGACTTATATTGCTTACAAACTGTATGGCCGTGGCAGGCCTCCTGTTAACTGTTCCTATATCTTAAAGTAACGCATTTCTACTAATTTATACCTTGCCACGCGGCTCTTGGCTTACCAGCATCTTCACATGCTGCTTATCCTGGCAGTTGCTGGCAGTATCTCCTTCTGCCTTCCTGTTCTTTTATTTCTCCTCTGTTAGTCCCGCCTATACTTCCTGCCTAGCCACGACCAATCAGGTTTTATTTATTGACCAATCAGAGTAACTTGACATACAGACCATCCCCCAGTACAGCCAAGTGCAGACCATCTCAGACACCTGCACTCAGGCCCATGGTCCTAATCATCCTCTATGCAAACCTGCTGGGTAACGCCACAAGGAACCCAAGAAGGGCTCCCACAGGACATACATTAACATCCCACAGCACTCTAGGCTCAAGGCTATCATATAATTTCATGTGGCTCATGTGATGTGAAGTGACTAACCAGAGCACAAGGATGAGGAAGCCTCATTGCTCTGTTTTCTCCCTGCTTGGAAAATACATGGTTCTACAAGAAGCAAGTACGGCTGAAGGAAAATGCTATATAACATAAAGACTATATAATTAAAAGACTGTATAACCATATTACAATATCAAATTTTAGATTAGGGGAGACACATTAAGTGCATTGCAGATATGTCAAGCCAATTCTTTCTTTATTAAGGTAATTACAATTAATAATAATATAGATTCAAGGTTGAAATTATTTTTCTTAACATTAGCATGTGACCACCATTGAATTATTGCTGAGTTGAATAAATATTCTTTTCATTTACTGTAATTCTGAGGGCAAATTTCTGAGACCACAAGTAATACAAAGAAAAAGAAACAAAAGCTAATCCTAATTAAAAGCAGGCCCTATATGTATGCTTCAGCATCTCTAACTTGAGTTTATTCTTCGCCATTTTTCAAAAAAATATCATAAAATTCTAACATACTTAAAAATGTTTCACTAACTTTTATTCACTAGTATATTGAGGGCTTCATAATTGGAATCTGGTGCACTGAGATCTTGCATATCAATTAGCTATAATTATTTTTTCACATTTGACTAAATAAAATGAGTTGGGTTTAGTCATTCATTCCTTGAACTTGAATAGTATTTCCTGTTATAAAGAATTTTCTCAAGCAAAGATCTTAAGAATGAATATATTTATATATATTACTTCACTTGCTTATTCTCTCTCTTTCTCTCTCTCTCTCTTTCTCTCTCTCTCCCTCTCTCTCTCTCTCCCTCTCTCTCTCTC